GGCCTGAGTCAACGCCACACCCCAGCTGGGAGGACTCCACTATGTGGTGGCCACCTGGTGCTCCCCACCCTCTGCACACTGGACAGCAGCTCCTAGGCTGAGCCCTCGAGGGGCAGCCCCTGGGACTCATGGCCAGAGAAGGGAGAGAGACCCTGACAGCACAGCCGTGCTCTGAGGCTGGGAGGGCGGGGCAGCGGGGCAGGGCCGGGTGTCTGCGGCTCCCTCGGTGGCTTGGTCGGTCTGCAGATGGACAGCCCCGGAGTGCAGGTGCTCAGCCGTGGTGACCACGGGCCTCAGAATCTGGGCATTCAGGGTATGGGGGGTGGATCTGAAGGGCAGCCAGGGCTGGGCCCACCTCTCTCACCTCGCACCTGAGGTCCTGTCAGATCACGTGCACCCTACGTTACCTGTCCATCCTTCTGGACAAAGTAGGCCCAGAAGCTCGGGAACTTGGGTGACATCGATGTGTTGGTTTCCTGTGGTCATTCCAGCAAATCACAATGAACCTGGAGACTTGACATTGGTTCTCTCAGCTCAGGAGGCTAGAAGTCTAAAGCCCAGGTGTCAACAGGGCCCTGCTCCGAAGGCTGTAGGGAGGCCCCTTCCAGGTCCCCCCTGTTGGGAGGCCCTGGGCACCCTGGGTTGGTGGCTATGTCCCTCTAGCCTCTGCGTCCGTCTTCATGCAGCTTCCCCTCTTCTGTGTCCTATAGGGGCGTGGATCAGTGGATTCGGGGCCCACCTGGGTAATCAAGGTGATCCCATCCTGAGAGCCTTAACTTCATTATGTCAAAAATCCACTTCCCAAACAAGAGCACAGTCACAGGCCTGGGGTGGCTCTTGGGCAGACAAGTCTTGGGGCCCAGCAGAGGCCTGCCTGGGGCACTGCTGGGGCCTGGGTGCAGCAGCAGCAGGCCTCAGAGCAGCTCGGCCAAGCTCCTAGCTGTACGTATTAGGGGGTCTGAGGCCTGGAGGGCTTCCCAGACTTGGCCCAGTGCCCCCACCACACACCTCCCTGGCCACACACCCTATCAAGTTTTACCTTCATCCTGTGGCCAGCGGTCTGTGAGCTCACCTGGAACGCACATCGGGGGGATGGAGCTGAATACAGTTGGCCCCGAGTAAATTCAGAAGGCCTGGTGGCTGAGAAAGTGGTGGAGGCTCTGACGGGGCACGTGGCCAGATTGTGGTCACGTTCCACAGTCAGCATGGCTCTCCGGCTGGTGGAGGAGCTGGGCTGGGGCCTGGGGTTGGGGCTCAGGTGGAGCCCTGATTAGAATTGGCTCAGTG